TTAGGGTTTAGGGGTTTCGGGTCCAAGGGTTTGAGCTCATGGGGAGGCTGCAGGGAGTGTGAGGGTTAATCGTTTCAGCGCACTGGCAAGTGCAAGATGCGACCAGCTCACCAGTACTCCCACAGTAATTGGGATCTGAGAGAGTTGTGAGTACCCTGGCCTAAAATAACCCTAAACCCTGAACCCTAAACCCGAATTCCTAAAGCCCAGACGCCCATCACACCCTGAAGCGGAATTCCTAACCTCCAAACTCCCATCCCCAATCCCTAAACTCTCTAAAACATAACCCCCAAGCCCTACACCCTACTTAGTAGGCCATGAGCCCCACCTTCAGCCCTCCCGGGGGCGGCTTTGGTTCACGGGCGTGGCTTTGTGTGTTGGGGTTAGGGGTTTAGGGGTTNNGGGTTTAGTTTAGGGTTTAGGTGTTTAGGGTTTCGGGGTTTCAAGTTTAGGGCTCAGGGTCTTGGGGTTTTGGGGTTCTTGGTTTAGGGTTTATAGGGTCTTGGGGTTCAGGGGTTCAGGGCTTAGGCGGTTTAAGGTCATGGTGTTCCGGGTATTGGAGTTTACGGTAAAGCCGCTTGGGGTGTTTGTCAGGAGGGGGTTTTGGGTTGAGGGTACTGGAGTTAAGGGCCCCCAGAAAAGCACATAAGCAAAAATTAGGATAGGGATATCCCACCCTAAACCCTAAACCCATAAACCCCCTCATAATGAAGCCCAATAAGGGAGGGATTGGGCTCCTAATAAGGAGTTGGCATGCTAGGAGGTTTCAGGCCTCACGGTTTAGGGCCTATAGGGCTCAGAGCAGAGCGTCGGGGTTGGGTTAGGGGTACAGGGTTAGAGTTTGGGGTTTTGGGGTTTAGGGTTTTGGGGTACAGGTTAGCGTGGTTGGGGGCAGTTTAGGGTTTAGGGGTCTTTGGAGGACGGTTGGGGTTGACCCGGCTGTGGCACGGTTGTTGCTGCTTCAGAACTTACATGGCTTTGTCCGTAAACCTGCACCCTAAACCCTAAACGCTACATCCTAAACCCCCCATCACTCACTTAGTTGTTTAGGGTGAGGGGTTTAAGATTTGTCTGCAAACCCGGGGCCGTGGCTTTGTCCGTAAACCTGCACCCTAAACCCTAAACCCCCCATCACCTTAGTTGTTTAGGGTGAGGGGTTTAAGGTTTGTCAGCAAACCCGGGGCCATCACTGGGTCTAGAGCTGATACAACTTCCGAGTTGGGGATCCCTATTCAAAGCCTCGCCACAACGCCCGACACCCGCAAGAGCCAACTCAGGACTCCAAAACTAAGCCCACAAGCCCTGACTCATCAAATCTCAGCTCCTGAAACCCTAAACCCTATAAACCCCCAAACCCTGAGCCCTGAAGAATTGAAACTAAATGCCACAGGAACCCACCGAACACCCTAGACGTGACAGGAAGCCCGAGACACTCCAGACATCCAAGAACAGTTCTAAAACCTAAACCCAAATACCCATCTTTTTAGGGGTTCCTTATTATGGTTTCTTTACATGAGTCCTGAAAAAGTGGATTTTTTGGGGTCCAGACCCCCAAACCCCCAAACCCTAACCCGAACCCCTAAACCCGAAAAGCCCAGACCATAAGCCTCCGGGTCAGCAAAGATGTCCCAAAGGACCTGGGCTGCCTGCCCGCACCCCATCTCTTCCGGCTCGGTTTAGGGTTGAAGGGTTTCTAGGGTTTAGAGAATCGAGTTTGGTGGTACATTTATACTATAAAATTAGACTATTACCCTAAACTAAACCCTAAACCAAAAACCCTAGACCCTGAACCCTAAACAGATTAGTAGAGATAACGATTAAGGCCTCTTTTTGGTAAAGCTCCGGGGCCTGACAGGGAAAGAACTGTATAGGGTTTGCAGGCTTTGGCTTTGGGTTTGGGGCCTTATAAGGTTTAGGGCTTGGGGGGTTTAGGGGTTCAGGGGCTTAGGGTTTAAGAGTTTACGGTTTATGGGGGTTTAGAGCCTTATATGGTTTAGGGCTTGGGGGGTTGAGGGTTCAGGGATTAGGGGTTTAGGGTTTAGAGATGTTTAGAGGTTTAGGGGCTGTAGGGTTTCAGGGGTTTGGGGGTTTATAAATAAATAGGGTCTAGGGTTTAGGGGTTTAGGGTTTGCAGGCTTTGGCTTTGGGCTTAGAGCCTTAAGGCTTAGGTTTTGGGGGTTTAGGGTTTAGAGGTTTAGGGGTTTAAGGTTTACAGGCTTTGGCTTTGGGTTTAGGGGCGTCGCGATTCAAGGCTTAGGGTGCAGAGGGTTGGGGGCCGCATTGATTTTGGGGTTTTTGGCTTGGGGTTCAGAAGAACTTTTATAATGTCTATAGCTGTAATCACCACAGTAACAGCAACAAGCTTACCCCTGCAAGTAAGGGATGATTGAAGGAGCCCTGGCTACATCAGAGTCCATCCGTCCTCATTCGTCCATGGCTTCTCGGTCGATGGGCTCCATTCACGGTGCCCGAAATCCTTCCCTAAACTTAACTTCACCGACATGAAACAATTTCTGTAGCACCCGCTCCTTAAAGATTTCATGCCGTTCCCGAAACCGTAAGCCGTGGAGCCTGAACGTGACATCTTAACTGACAAGTTTTTCAGCCCCTCAGCTACAGGTCAGAATGGCCTGAACCTTGCTCCAGTATCAATACGCACACCCCCCCCCCAACAACGCTGGTGGAGTTGATATAGGGGCGCCTTCATCATTAGAGTAGGGCTTTGGGCGTAGATTATGCTTGAGCCCTCCAAGTAGTATTGGCAATCATGTAGACCCCTATATTAATCTTCGGCATTTGAACCCTGGGGCCTCCTGCACCTTAAACCTAGATGCCTTCCCTACGAGGAGCAGAAGTAGAAGTCGTGGCTTCTTCAATCATGTGTACCCCTAAGGGTCCATGTACCCAAATAGTAGATACTTTGGACCCAAGAGGGACTACTTTGAGGCCAAAGTATATACTATTTAGGTACATGGACCCTTAGTGTACGAGCTGCTCAAGCCTATCGTGGAGAGGCACACTACATCTCGACTTCTGGTTCGATCTAGATCGATGAACCCTAAACCCTAAACCCCAAACCCCCAAACCCCCAACCCCTAAACCCTGAACCCCTAAACCCCGAACCCCTAAACCGATGGCTGCAGCTTTCAGGTTGGCACGAATCTCAAAAGCGGCTCCGAGAGAGCCAAGAACAAATTCAAGCTGGTTGCGCTTCTGCGCATAATGTAGGGGCCTCAATAGTTAGAACAGGGCTTTGGGGATATATTATACTATAACTGTAACTTGGACCCCCCCCCAAAAAAAAAAAGTACAAGTAATAAAAAAAGCCCCTCTGTTATGGAGTTCCTCTAAACTCCTCATGGCAAGGAGAGATCACACGGTATGGAAAAAAGACTTACAAAGACCCTCCTTGTACCCTCAACTAGGAATATATGGTCCTAAATATAAGGGTATTTAGGCTCTAATGAAGGGTAGCTGGCGGGTCTGGGTCCAGGCACCAAGAGAGGAGCAGAGCCAGCATCTGTAACCCAGAGAACCCAATACCCCTTAATTGAAAATATACCTTAAATCTTAAGGGCCTCAATTTTATGATTTAAGGTATCTTCCTTAATTAAGGGGTATTGGGTTCTCTGGGAAAATGCACTCTACACCTCTTTGAAACTCGGCAGGTTGCTGGTGGAAAGCGGGGCGCAGAGCGATCTAACGCCACTATCACTACGCCAGGCCCACCCGCACACCGAAACCTAACCTATATTGCACTCCGAACGGGTCCCAGATAAATAAATAACAAATAAATAATAAATAAAAATAAATAAATAAATATANNATATATATATATATGTATAATATACGTATGTATATACACATATTTAGTTCGTAGACCGTAGACATGTAGGGTTTCTATACTTGGAGTTCGATATTATAGGAGGATCTAAGCCCAAACCTCTTCGACTTCCCCCGCGCTCCCTCCCGCATGCCTGGTCTTGCGCCCAGGCCTGAGCCGAACTTGCTTCAGGGTTTAGGGCTTAGGGTT